TCCCCAGTCCTGATTATTCCACCCTTGATAACCACTAATGTAGGTAAATTTGCCTGTATCAGATATACAAAAAGAACAAGGGCCACATGGAAACAGCCATCTCTGACCTTTAGCAACTTCACAAACGAGAGATGTTTCCATCAACAGAATCGATACAATCCACTCTACAACCCTCATTGCATACTCCTACGATAAAAATAATGCCCTAAAATATAATACTTTTAGACTATTCTCTCTCCCATAGACTTCAATGCCGTAAACATATTTTATCCAGTTTTTCTCAGTCTTACCCCCACCCCAATATCCTCTTAACAACATATATTTCATTGGTAACCATTATCATCATTATGTCCGAAATCATGTAATATCTAACAATAGCAATAGTTTGTATTATGATTATCAGGCTTAATTTTTTATATTAAATTTTATTAATTTTAGTGGGAAAAAAATCAATAGTTTTAAGACTTCTGCTCCAAGTCAGGATGGGGAAACAATGACCAATTTAAACAAGGATCAATTTACCCTACTGTCTAGTATAACTAAAAACTTGAATATGTAAATGAAATATGTGTACTCAAGACAATGGATATCAGTGAAGGACAAGAGTGATCCCAGAGAGACTAAAAACAAATGCAGTGAGACCTAAGATTGCCCCAATTTATAGTCCTAATTCAGAATGTCAGGAAAGATGCTCTTTCATAAGACTCTAGGTGACCATCTTTCTTGTCTCTGTGGTAGTCTCTGAGGGTCCATAGCTTGCAGCTATAATATGAAATATAACTCTGATCTCACACGGTCATCTTCCCCCCAACTTTCTCCATCTGATATTTCTCTTTTTCCAGGATATCAAAGTAAATTAGAATTGATCCTGATATGGACCTCATGCCAAATGATAATACTCTCAAAAACTGTATTTGCATACAAAGTCATATTTCACAGGTACTAGAATTTAGAACTACAACACAGCTTTTGAGGATATAAAAACCAATCAGACCCAACTGTAAAACTTGAAACAATTAACTTCTTTTTCATTAAGATATAATTTATCTATCATAAAATTCACCTTTTGGGGGGGGGATTTCCATTCATTCATTGTTGCACTTTCCTCCCTGCCCATCACTCCCCTCCCCAATTCACTCTTCTCTTTGAAAAGTAAAAGAAAATTTCTTTCATTAATAACTTCATTTTTTAGATTAAAACGCAAGCAAAACTCTCTAACATTGAGTCTTTTTTTTCCTCCAGAACCAACAAAAGCACAATCCTCTAGAGAGAAAAATTATAAACAGGACATTACTTGAAGACATTATTGCTCTTCAATATTAAAAGAAAAAAACTAACACACTCCTTTTTTCTCCTTTGCACTGTCAATCAGTCAGTACTTAAATCACTACCTTTTCTCCCATCTCACCACCTTTACTTAGCACCCTCCCCAATTCAAATATATCCCTTAATTTTGTTAGCATTTATTTTTATCTACCTCTCATCAAAGGGAGCTCTACTAACACAGTCTGTAGGGAGCTGTGATGCTAACCCAAAGGTAGTCCCTCTCTGGTCATTCGAATCCAACAGCAGCTCCAAGGGGGAAAGATGGTCAATTTCCTTCTATGTAATTGATTCACAGCCCCAGAAACCAGACGGAGTGTTAGCAACTAGGTATGTTCCAACTTGATGGCAATGAAAGAGAGATATCCACCATCGAAATATTTATCATTTCAGTATACAGCCTAATAACTCTTTCACTGGCCTTATCACATACTCTTCTTGCCTATCAATCTTATTTCTAATTCCTTTGACTATCTTATGCCTATAGAGACTACATTGTCATTAAACAATGAATAAAATACATGATTAACTATTTCCTCCTTCCCAAAACCCCACTAAAAAATGTAAAATAGTACTGTAGAATATATATTCACAATCACAAATGTCAAGAAAATTCAGGAACATTTGAAGCATGAGTGCCTACAAATGAAAAGATCAGGAGGAAAAGGCCAATTTATCAGACAACTCTCAGGAAGTCTAGAATTGGTGGAAGATGGGGAAAGAGCTCCAAAATGGATTAAAAATCTGTACAAGCAGTAGGCAGAGCTCTAGCTTTTCTTCCTTAACCTTCACAGACAGGTAACTATTCCTCTATTAGTGCAGGAATAAATCAGAGAACAAAATAAACTAGAAAGCCTTTGGCCTCTAGAATGCTTACCAAAACCAAGACTAAATAAAATATCATTTTTAAAACATTCAACTTATTTTCTTATTCTTATTTTAGGCATTCTCATATCACTGGCTTATAGCTACAGATAAAGTGTTATCAGTGAAAAGAAAGACTAGTTAAATTTTAATTTGAGATATAGTAAATATGCTCTGAATATTATAAGATGTGTTTATATGAGAAATTATTTATTATTTACCTCAAATATAAATTTAACTATATATTCTGGATACTAGTCCTTAACTGGCAAGGTCAGATAGTATAGTCTATAGGAAGTTGTGCTGCTAACCTGTTGTGGAATGTTAGGAGAGGACAGGAGGGCCTCTGGCCAGGACAAATCACCTAAGCTCCAGATAGGAGCAAGCCTTCCAATGGCCTTTACTACAAGGTAGAGAAAGCTCCCCTGTGTTTGGCTGTACCCTTCAGAAAGCTCACCACCTGGGTAGACGGCTGCCACGTCTGTTGAGCTGGGAGTGGTCCACACGAGGCTGAGGTTCTCCTAACAAATTATCATGTCCCATGTCTCGAAGCCCACCCTATCTTGTCTTCCTGTTTATAAGTGCACTGCAGATCCCAATAAAATTGAGCTGGATTGACTCTCTGATCTTCTCCTGCAGTGATGTATCTCTGTCATGCTTACCCTCATCAGGGTGTCACTGTCAAGTTTCTGGCAAACAGACAGCGACACAAACCCAAATTTGGTGCCTCTGGCAGTTCAAATCTAACAGCAGTTCCACCAAATATAGGTGAACAATTTATTCCCATGTTATTTATAGCTTCCAAAGACATGTTTAAGTGTCAAATGAGTTGGTTCCAACTTGATAACAATGAGCTACTTTTTCTCAGTCATGTATACTTGGCATAGTTAGGCTCCAAAGACTAAGTTGTTTAAGTAAAAATTAGCAGTATGTGAAAACAGTACAACTACATCAGATCACAAGAAGATGACTACATCATCACATAACTGCCAAATTACATCATTATATAATTGCTGGGAATCACAGTCAATTTGAAACATAATCATAAAGATCAGAGCTCATGTTACTCATACTTCAGCATTCATCACTGCCAAATATATGTCATTAACATGCAAAATACTTCATTATTGTTGAAAACGCAATATGGTGAGTAACATGACAGTTGGTAAGTAAGGACCAGGTTTCTTTTTAATGGATAAATCTGCCAGCCTACACACATAACAGACTAGATAATTCCTCCTGAGAAACCTAGCTTGTTCAGAAAAAAAAAAAAAAGCTAGACATTAAGAAGCTCTCCACAAAAATCACAGATCCTTCTCTGATCAAAAATACACATCATACAGGCACACATTCGCCACAGAAAACTGTTTTCTAATATAATTTATTCAAATCCTAAGACTTCTAAAAATCAGGATTCTCTGATGATCGAAATGTAGAATGTTCTTATTAAAACTACTTCCATAAGCCAAAATGGTGTATAGTCAAGTAGTAATTAGCATTAATTTGTATGGGGGAAGTTTTTTAGCATTCTCAGACCCAGATAATATCTTACCAAATACATAAAACCTAAGATAACACTGATCTAGAGAGTTTACAGGCACAGTTTAAAGCTATGGTTGCTTGCTATGAAAATGCTGAGTGTAGTTCCCAGGAGAGGAGCTTGATAATAGTACTCCACTCAGGGTGCATGACGTTTTGTTAACAGTTAATGGTAAAATAGTAGCTCCATTGTTTGCCCTTTCTTTGGTAAAATTGACAATCTTCATATTTCGTTTAGTTAATAACAAAGCAAAGTGGTATAAAATAACTTCTACAAAGGGGTGCCTGTACTTCATTTTTTAAGTTTCCAAATTAAAAACAATATTAAAATATTGTTAAAGTGTCTATATTTCATCTTAAGTGCCTTCAAAAAACAAATTAATAGTGTAGTTCTAGTCCTAACTTTTATATGACAAAAAAAAATCTTAAAGTTAAGAAACCATTATTGCCTCTTGAAAAGACTTTTTAAAAAGTGACCAATTCACAAACAAACTAATGTTTTGGTAATAAATAAAACTGTAACACAGAAAATGTGCCATGTTAAAATATTTAATTATTCTTGCTAATGATTCACAGAATAATTTAGGGAAGTTGAGTTATAATAAAAGGGCACTTGTAACCAAAAGCAGCGAGAGTAACAATGGAAATAAAAAGTGGTTTCCAAAATCTGGCTCATCCTTAAAATAATCTAAATATCTTCAAGAAAAAAAAATATTTTAAAAGTTCCTCTCAGATCTACTAAATCAGTATTTTGAGAGGTAGGACCCCATATCCAAACTTTATAAGTTTCTCCATGAAATTCTGACAGTCAGTATGATTTTGGAACTAGTGCATTCGAACATTCATTTTTGCACATTTATTTAATACAGAAAATCCCATGGTTATAAACAGGATCCACTCTTAACTGTGTCTTTTAAGAATTTATAGGTAAATTGGAACAGATACATACGTATTCCAACTTATTTAGACTTATTTTAATGCAAAAAAAAAAAAAAACAACCCTCAAACTCCTTTAAACTCAAATATAAAAGCTACATACAGCAAGTGAAGATGAGTGTGAGGAAGGTCTTGTTGCAAATAGGGATTGATTCCATTATCTCAAGGATGCAGCCAATTGTTTCAAGAATGCCATAAACTGACATTAACATTAAAGGGCAAGTAGAAGTGTCTGTCTGTAACTTAAATAATCTTTAGCCTAGGGATTACCTGTAATATTCTCTATTTGCTGTGAGCACAATAATGATGCATAACAAATGCTGAAATTATTCTCTTACCTTGGATACTTGGCTGACATAATTTATTTGAACAGTACTTTCCTTATCAACTTGATTACAAAGGTTCTGTAAAGTAGTTGCATATTCTTTATCACTTTTTATTCTCAGGGCCATAAATTTCTTCACTGTTTCCAATAAACGTAATTCCCAGTCTTGCAATTTTAACACAGCTTCATGTGAATTCTTCAGGTCACTCCCAAATCCCATTTTCATAAGGCACTGTCTTTATGCTCCACACTGCACTAGTGAGTCTTCTAATTAGCACATATCTCTGTATATAAACCAAAGAAAATAATCATAAGTCAAAAGGAAAAAAACCTTCCAGGTAAATTTATATTGTGTAACTTTCCCCTAGGATGAAATGAAAATGTTTTCTGTTTTCACTACATGTAATCACCATCCTACAAGAATTCTAGCCAGTACAATGAAAGATAAATACATAAAAAATTTTTTTAATCCAGACCGGAAACAAAGAAGTAAAATTATTTCTATTCATGGCATCACCTTATATAAAGAAAATTGTAAAGAATATGATTTTTATAATCATAAATGAATGAATGAATATATGAGTTCAACAGTTTCAAGGTTTTAAAAAAAGCATACAAAAACCAACTGATTTTTTTACATTAACATTGTCTAATTTAAATTTTTTTTACTTCTATTTGTACTTTTGTGCAAAAGAATATCTCAAACTTTACACTATATGCAAAAACTAGCTCATATTGGATTATAGACTTAAATATAAAAATTTAAAATATTAAACTCTTCAGAGAAAATATAGAAATAATACCACAGGGCCTAGTTTTAGAAATGGGTTCTTAGATATAACACTAGAGATAGAAGCAAAAGAAGATAAACCGAACTTCATAAAAATTTAAACCTGTTATAAATGTACCCATGAAACTAATGCCCCAGACAATCTTTAAAACTTAAACCAAAAATATTTCCCAAAGGCTCCTGTAAACCAAACAATAGTTTAACTCAACTAGTGGAACATATTTCCCTTGAGTATTACATTCTTTTAAAAATTATAGGTATATAGAGAAATAAAACAGAGACAGTTACAGATGTAAGATTAAAGTGGCAAAACAAAAGATAAGAACTTTAGGGCAGTGAGTTTACATGAATAAGGGAACAACAACTCATACAAGGAGAGGTTGAAAATGTTCGCATAGTTCAGACTGGAACTATTGTCAACGCAATGTAGAAGCATAAATGGTTGAGTTGGCATATGATTAGTTCTGTATATTCTCAGTAAAAAACAACAAAATTATTTTTCAATTTTAAACTTTTGTTTCTCAAAGCATTTTTAAAACAAAATAAAGAGGCAATCTAGAAATTGGGAGACTATTTCAATTTTAAACTTTTGTTTCTCAAAGGATTTTTAAAACAAAATAAAGAGGCAATCTAGAAATTAGGAGAATATTTTCGGAAACTGTGTATCTGGTAAAGGTCTAAAAAAAAAATAAAGAACTTTTACAACTTAACAAAAAAGACAAACAACCTAATCAAAATATGTTACAGCAACATTAGGCAACCAAGATAATAGCCCACAGAACAGGAGAAAATATTGTAACAGATAAAGAACTTCTTTCTGGAATATGTAAAGAATTCTTACAACTGAGCAATAAAAAGACAAATGAACAAACGAAGACAAAGGATCTGGACTGATATTTAAACACACACACACACACACACACACACACACGTGTGTCAAACAGTACATGAAAAGGTGTTCAGTATAACGATGAAAGAATCTTGCTTTTCAAAGAGAAGAGCGAATTGGGGGTGAGGGGTGAGCAGGGAGAAAAATGCAATAATGAATGAATGGAAATCCAAAGTCTCTGTAAATGTTCATTAAAACAAAATAAATTAAAAAAAAGAAAGAAAAGGCATTCAACATCATTAACCATTGTTGTTGTTGCTATTGTTGCTATATGCTGTCAAGTGGACTTTGACTCATAGCGACCCTATCTACAACAGCTCTGAAGCTTGCTCTGTCCTGAGCCAACCTTATTGTCTCTGACACACCTATCCTCATTATCTCATTGAGTCAATCCATCTCATTGAGGGTCTTCCTCTCTTGTGATGTCCCTCCACCATCCCAAGCATCATGTCCCTCTCCAACAACTGGACCTTCCTTGAAACATGCCCAAAATATTTCACACAAAGCTTCAGAATCCTTGCCTCCGAGGAGCAGTCTCGTTTCACCCTCTGCAGGATGAGCCTGTTTGTTCTCCTACTGGTCCATGGTATATTCAATACTCTTCTCCAGCACAGCAGCTCTAAGGCATCAATTATCCTTCTATTATCCCTAGTCATTATCGAACTCTTTGATGCATAACATGTAATTGTGAAAACCATGGCCTGGATCAGGCACACCTTAGTCTCCAGATTGGCTTCTTTGCTCTTCAATACTCTGGGGATGTCCTTGACAGCAGACTTTCCCAAGGCAATTCATCTTTTGATTTCCTGCCTGCTGGTACCAAGAGATGTGAAGCCAAGCAAACTGAAGCTGTTAATAATCTCAAGCTCTTCACCATCTATCACGTTGCTGCCAATCAATCAGCCCAGTGATAAGACTCTGTTTTCTTGATAATGAGCTTCAACCCATATTGAAGGCTGCAATTCTTGACCTTCTGCAACAAGTGCTTCGGGTTCTACTCAGTTTCAGCAATGCAAATCAAAACTACAATGAGACAGTACTTCAAACACATTAGAATAATCAAAACAAGAGAAAATATCAGGCACAGCAACCAAGTTTCCTACTTGGAAATTCATAGAAAGCTGGCAGAAAGTGAAATGGTATGGACACTGTGGACAACAAGTTTAGTGATTCCAAAAACACAGATTTAGCATTTTGTTGTTGTTGTGTACTGCAGAGTTGAAACCAACTATAGCTGACCTTCCAGTGGGTTTTCAGAGGCAGTTAATCGTACGGAAGGCGACTGCCCACCCTCCTCCCATGATACAACTGGTAGATTTGAACAGCATGCCTTTGGAAATGCAGTACAGCTTCTTGCCACTAGGACACTAGAGCTCCCTAACTACCCAGAAAATCTACTCCTCAATGTATGCTTATGAAAATAAAACTTGTATCTAGGGAAAAAAAATCTCTGTGAATATTCATAAGATGATTTGTTCACAATATCCAGAAATGGGAAATAACTTACAAATCTATTAACAGATGAACAGATAAAACAAAATGTGAGGCAAATTTAACACACTGTGAATAGGGATGATAGAAAGAGAATTGATGCCTTTGAGCTGTGGTGCTGAGAAGAGTATTGAATATACCACAGACTGCTAGGAGAACAAACAGGTTTGTCCTGGAGAAGTTGAAGTCAGAAAGAAGTCGGAAGTTGAGTCAAGGATTGTGAAGCTTCGTCTGACATACTTTGGGTATGTTGCAAGGAGGGACTGGTCCTTGGAAAGGGACATCATGTTTGGCAGAGTGGAGGGGCAGCACCAGAGAGGAAGATCTATGATGAGATGGATCGATTCTGTGACTGGAGTGGTGGGAATGAGTGTGTTTGAGATGACGAGGGTGGCACAGGATAGAACAGCATTTAAGGTTCTTTACATAGGGTCGCTATGAGGCAACTCGATGGCATATAATAACAACATATAAACATATAGTAGATTTTTGTGCAAAAATTACGAAGCTAATGGATCAGCTCTTGGAAAGGGATGTCATGCTTTGGAGGGTGGAGGGACAGTGCAGGAGAGGAAGACCCTCGAGATGGATTGATTCAGTGACTGGGGTAATGGGGGCAGGTGTGTCAGAGACAATGTGATTGGCACAGGATAGAGCAGGGTTTAGGGCTATTGTACATAGGGTCGCTATGAGTCGCAGGTGATTTGTCAGCACATAAAAACAACACCAACAACAACAATGCTAAAATTTATATGAATATAAAAGGGGCTTGGAATAGTCAAAACAATCATAAAAGATAAAAAAATTAGAGGATTCACACTTTCCAATGTCAAAATTTATTATGTATCTATACAGTAAAATATTATTTGCGTATAAAAATAAATGTTCACTGATACAAGCTATAACACAGATAAACCTAGAAAATATTATTCAAATTAAGGAACCCACTCACAAAGGACAACATATTATATGATTTGATGTATATGAAATATCAAGACTAGGTAAGTCTATAGTCAGAAAGTGGGTTCTTGATTGCTGAGGGCTAGGAAATTTAGGGAGAATGAAAAAGACACCACATAATGAATTTCTTTTGAGGATGATGAAAATTTCATAAAACTGACTGTACTCTTGGTCACATAGCTTTGTAAACATGCTACAAATCACTGACTTATACATCTTGCTGTTGCCAGATGCCAGTCAAATCAATTCCTATGTACGGATCTCTATGTGTTTCAAAGGAGAATAAGAACAGATAAAGGAAAGGACTGTGTGAAAGGAATGTATGAGAAAAAAAAAAAAGGAGAACTGCCTTCCATACAGTTTTCAGGGCAGAGACCTTTTTGAAGCAGATCACCAGATCTACCTTCCAGGGCACCTCTGAGCAGGTTTAGGCAAGTAGTGGAGTTCTGCACCATCTGTGCCTCCCACGAGTCCATGTACATCTTAAATTGTTAATTCTTTAGATTAAGTATTGTATTTCACTAAGCTTTTTGAAAACCACAATATTATAACTTATGATCATCTCAAGATAAATTCTCATAATTTCCCCAAACATTATCCTGTTTGACTGCAATAAATCCTAAAAATTGTGGTAGATTTTATTTTGTCCTCTATTCTCCATAGAGACTAAGGTGCGCCTGATACAGGCCATGGTCTTTGCAATTACTTGTTATGCATCAGAGAGTTGGGAAATGACTAGGGAGGATAGAAGGAGAATTGATGTCTTTGAGCTGTGGTGCTGGAGAAGAGTACTGAATGTACCATGGACTGCCAAGAAAACAAACAGATTCATCCTGGAGAGGGTTAAACCAAGCTACTACTTGGAGGCAAGGATTCTGGGGCTTCGTCTGACATACTTTGGGCATGCTGCAAGGAGGGACAGGTCCTTGGAGAGGGACATCATGCTTGGGAGGGTGGAGGGACGGCGCAAGAGGGGAAGACCCTCTATGAGATGGATTGATTCAGTGACTGGAGTAATCGGGATGGGTGTGTCAGAGGCAGTGCGACTGGCACAGGATAGAGCAGAGTTTAGGGCTGTTGTACATAGGGTCGCTATGAGTCGCAAATGACTCAACAGCACATAACAGCAACAACAATTCTCCATGCTTGGGAGG